GCACGGCACAGAGCGAGCTTCATCTTCCAACCACCGGAAAGAGCGGAAATCTCGCCAGTAATCATCTGGTCGGTGAAGCCGAAGTCGCTGAGCTGCTTGACGACATCGTCCTGGGTGGTGGTGACACCAGCCTCCTCGAGCTTCTTCATGGTCCACTCGATGGTGGTCATCTCGGTATCAGCAGAGTCCAGGTCGTGCTCGACGAAGACAGTCTTGACTTCGCTCTGCTTGGGGAAACCCTCGACCTGCTCGTTGTTGATGGCACGCATCAGAGTAGACTTTCCGGAACCGTTGGGACCGCAAAGACCGTAGCGCTGGCCACGCTTAAGACGGAGATGGGTCTGGTTCAGCAGAATCTTGGCACCGTAGGCAAGGGAGAAGGTGCAGTTGCACAGATCCTCACCCTCCTCCTCATCGGGCTCAACCTCATCCTCGGCCTGGGCACCGGGGGAGGCCTTCTTGCGGAGAGTCTCGATGACGCTCTCGGAGTTGTCGATGCCAGTGATGACAGCGACATAAGGCTTGAGGGTGTCGACCCAGACAATGGGCTCCTTCTCCTTCTCGTCGACGATCTGACCAGCAATGGCAGCAATGTACTCGGCAACGGGCTCCATCTTGGCGAGGTAGTTGGCGTACTTGGGGGCAAGGATCTCCTTGAGCTTGGCAAGGACGACCTTCTGGTCACCGTCGTTGCGGGCCTCAGGGATGACACCATCCTTGATGTTACCGACACGGGTGAGGGTGTCGAGAGCCTGCTTGGTCTTCTCACGGGCCTCGGGGTCAGCCAGGTTTTCGTAGTTCTTGGTAAGACCTGGCATCATCTTGGGCAAGAAAGGAGCGACAATGTTGGGGTCGTCGACCAGCTTGCACATGTTGTCGACAATGACGGCAGCCTTTCGCTTGATGGCGGTCTCACGCTCAGCAAGACCACGGTCCAGAAGAGGAACCATGAGGGCAAGAGTGGGCTCCTGAACCTCGGTAACGAAGGTTGTGGCACCGAGCAGATGGACAGTCTCGGGGACGTTCTCGGGCTTAGCAATACACTTGATAAGCTCGGGAATGAAACGCTCAATATCCCTGTTGACAATAAGCTGGCAGAGCTGCTCCATGGTCTTGTAGGCACGCTCCTTAACCTCCTTCTTGGTATCCCACATAGCCTCGGAGATGACGGGGATCAGTTCAGGGACACGGGCAGAGACCTGAGCAGGGGCGGACTTGACGAGGGCATCAATGAAGTCAAGAGCAGCCATCTTCTCAGGCCACTTCTGGGCATTGCGGAGAGACTCCATGATGTGAGGGAGGGCAGCCTTGGAGGCGTTACCGTTGATGGCGCCAGCAATGGCGAGGACGGCAGCCTGGCCGGCATTCTTCACGGCAGTGATCTTGTCGCCAACGGCGGCAAGGGCAGCGGGAAGGAGGACAACGAGGTAGGGCTCGACAGAAGCAGAGACCTCGGCGTGGGAGGCAATCTGCTCAATGGCGATGGCAGCCTTCTCACGGGCGAGAGCATCCTTCTTGTTGGAGAGGGACTTCTGGAGGCTTGCAACGAAACTAGAATACCCACTCTGTCAGTACTAAAGTTACCCCTCCAAAAAAAAAATTGCGGGTGCTATCTGGCATATTGGTGAGGGGCTGATGTTGACAGGGGAAAGCAGCGCCGCGGCGCAATGCCAATTCAAGCCCAACACTACAAGAAAATTGCAGGGATTGCATCCATATAGCCAGGGCTTGAAAAAGACGAACGGAAAAAGAACTCTATAAGTCCTAGGGATGATCGAAATGGCGGGAAAACTTACGAGCTGGGGACGGCCTGGTCCTCAATACGACCGTTGATGAAGGAAGCGATCTCGGTAGAGGCCTCCTTGATGTCGGCAGCCTCCTTGGAGACGTTGAGCTTCTGGAAGAGCTCCTCAAGGACCTTGACGGAACCAGCGTTCTCGGAAGGCATCTTGTCGGTTTTTTATTTTGTTCGGTTCGACCGGGAGATTAAGAAAAGAAGAATAGATTCCTAGAACGAATAAACGTCTAAAGGAACAGGTGAAGCCCACAGAGACGATGGAGGAGTCGACTCTGTTCTATCGTGGCCTTTTTTTTTGGTGGAGGTGGCGGGGTTGTTTCTGGGAAGTGAATCCGAGAACAACGACCAGGAAGAAAGAAGAGAATGAGACACTTTCGAATCCCACGAGAAGGTTCGCCTGGAGGATGACGACCAAGTCGATGATTGAATCAGGATGGAAAGGGGGGAGGGAGGATGGGGAGGTGGAAAAGAGAAAAAAGTGCCTGGGTGGAGGGCTACGGGCAGATAAGTTTTATGTGCCTCGCCTCCCACCACAACTTTTTTTTTTCGCTCCCCTCCCACAGTGCCAACCAGGGTGCCACCCACCACCAAAGGGCCTTGGTCCGCACTTTTCTTACGGGCAGTGCCCCTCCATTGGCGGCTATCTACTCAGGCTTATCGTCTTATCAGCACGCGCTAATCCCAACCGGGGCGATGGCAAAAGCGGTGAGGCCGGTTCATGCAGGGCGGAAGCCAGATGCCTCTGGCAACAGCGCAGATTTTTTTTCTCCTTGGCTCCATCCAGCGGCAACCAGAAACGCTGCCCAGCCTGCTTTGTGCCGAATTCTGGCGGGTTGGCCCAAGCAACTAGGCCCAGCAGCTAGCTAATTCTACGGAGGTGGCACCTTGCTCCTCCAAGCTGATCTATGATCCATCGTCCCTCATCAAGCTCTAGCTGTAGTCAGCATGTGAGAGAGCGGGAGGACCGCCTCTTACTACCAATTTCCTTCTCAATATTTTTACCTTCAGCCCCAAAAAGCAAGGTTTGTGCTGCCTTTGCCCAGGGCCCTTTTAGATGGAGCCCAGAATATCGAGGTTGGTCGGGCATCATGCCGCTGGACGGCTGGCCTGGTCTGCATTGCAGGATGCGTGGACGGGGCAGCAGAGGTTACATCCTGCATCGTATCCCTACCTCCGTCAATCTAGCATCTTCTCTTCCATCTGGCAAATCTTTCCCTCGGCATTGTTCACGACTGGCACGCTGGCCCAGCAACGGTTGCGAGCTTGCTTCTCAGTAAAATGAGGTCCATCTACCCCTCCAACCACCAACCTGAGGTGGGGGGCCTGGCTGGGCCACAGTTGGGAGTGGATTTATCGCACTGCAGCACCACCAGCCTACCAGCTTGGTAGCATTAGATTTGCTTAGCAAAAGCTGAAACCAATCCAGCCCGCCGTCTTAGCAATGATACTTCCAGCCACGTTGTCAGCACGCTCGCCTGTGAGTGGCCCGTATCCCAGCCAAGCCGACCGAATAACAGCACAGAGAGCAGCACATGCAGCCAGCGCCGTATCCAGTGGTAGCACACAAGCAGACATATTTTGCTCTCACCATAGCGGCAATATCATCATATCTAAAACCCGCCCTCACTCGGCCCTCGATTGCATTTCGCGTTATCTGCTCTGCCGCATCAGACAGGCCTTCCCCGCCACAGATTTGCTCAGCATCCCCCTGCCTCCAGCTTCGCGGGGCCCCAGAATCGCCTCAGGCAGGGGCTCACCGACATCTACGTATTTTTCATGACTTGCATCACCTTAGCCCTTCTCCTTGTGCATACACGGCAGAAAAAAGGAGGGCCAAGATAAGAGTGACAATCGGGGGACTAAACTGTAATTGTAAAGTGAGCACATGCCACACTCAGGGAATGTGCCACCCAAGTCCCTCCATAAGCAATACTCTTTGTCACTTGGCATGCAGTCCTTGCTATAAGCAAAGTAGGGAAGGAATTGTGGCTAAATATCCCCTCAAGGATCGTTTTCAACAAAGACTCTGCTGAACGTGCCACCCCAGACACTTAGACTTACTCCGCGATCACCTTTCTCTGTGAATGTCAACGAACCGTCATGAAACCAGATGTCCAAGTCATCTCATCCCTCTTCATGGGTTGTAGACATTGCACATTCCCCATATCGTCGTAAGACGTAGCCCTGGATGACATCGACTCCCAGTACCCCTCCACTTACATCGCTGAAACTAAACCTTAATTAATTCTTCAAGAACTAGACCTGCCTGGCTAAGGGAGTGCCACAAGATTGATTCGCGATCTAGGGTAGGCAGCAGGCAGAAGATGTAGTCTCATCGGGCAAACAAGTTTCGAGACTACATTACCTACCTATGCTACAGCACTCTTTTTACAACATTCACGAAACCTTAAAGGGCCAACGCCCAACTAGAAATACCTATCATGGGCATTTCAGGCTATCATTTGCATCGTCTTGCCATCATCCCAGTCTCGTCAACGCCGGCTGTAGATGAGTGTGCATCGACAGCCTTGACAGCAGCCCGTCAAGTGGGTGACATTGAAACTGAGACACTCAAACATTGAGTTGTTTGTTTTTGAGTCTGCGAACAATATTATCAGATTATTGAGTGCTAATAACACATACTTAAAAGATAACCTATATTGTTACTCTATTTCATCCTATACTGCTGAGCCTTTGCTATTCGTCGTATGAAGTCGTCTATTCCATCGGATGTCTCATTTCTCCTGTCCCCTAGTTACTTGCCTGTATTAGCCAATGCCATCTATCATTTGCTCTGGCTCCATTACTTTAGGGAGAGGAGAATATGAACGATTGAACCCCTACTCACAAGACATGATTTTGCCACCTGCTGTCATTAGCCTATTGTGAACGTAAAACCAAAACCTTCTCACTTCGTCCTCCACGTTTTGACTCACAATGAGGTGCCCATGTCTCGGGCAGCTGATGACCACCAAAACAAAAAGTCAATAAAGCCACATTCTTCCGCTGTTCCATAAGTCTGCCGTTCATCAGGCGACCAGGCGAATTATTGAATCCATCATGACATTCCTCCCCTTGAACCCCCCATCCCTGCAACTTCTTCTGCCCATCCTCATTACATCTCGTCCTCGTTAACCCCCCTCAAAGTCCAAGATACCATCGAGAATCCCTCACCTGCCTGTAAATCATCGATACTGAAGAAATGGCCAAATCTCTAATCGCCAGCCTGCTGCTGGCCTCCCTCGCCCGCGCCTCGGACCCAGCCGGGCTGCCAGAGAAGAAAGACCAAGATGGGAAGCTACAGCCATCTCAATGCCAGAGCGTCCTGCCCATCCTACCGAAATTCACCTTTGGGCCTACCAGAACAGTGTTCACGACTACCACCACCCACACGAGCACCGTCGACTGTGGCATCTGCGAAGACGTCGTCCCAGTGATAGTGCCCCTTGGTATCCCCCCGGTTGTGCTTTTCACCGCGACCACGACTGCCAGCACGCCGTACGTCACAACCGAATATGAGTGCGGCTCGACCCCGGCCCCGTCAACAACCTTGAAAACGGCGGTACACCCTCCCAAGGACCGCCGCGGTCCACCGTCTCCCACTATCACCTCTACAACCTCCGTAGATGAAAACGCGAAGCCCATTTCATACTTCGAGCCCGACTACACAGAGCCCGAGGGTCCCACCACTGTCACTCCGCCCGGCATCGACAAGCCAGAGTGCACCTCCTCGACCGCGCTCGATCCCGTGGTGGCCGACTCCACCTGGACCTTCTACCCTTCTACCGTGACGTCTACGAGTTCGGTGGACTGCGGCGAGTGCGCGCTCGAGTGGTCCACGGGGGTCATATACTACTTTGCTCCGATCCTCTACACCGCCACGACCACAGCCGCAACTCCCAGCGTGAAAGTTGATCTTGCATGTTTGGCTGTTCCGACGAAAGCCTATATTGGGACGGCAGAGTTTATATCGGAGTAACTAACACGAGGCTAAATGAATATTTGTGGCAGAGTGTTGGTGTCTGTATCAATTTCAGGCTCATAAGATAGATCCGATCAAGATGGTCAGTGTCTCGAACCCATTGAGGTCTGCATGACCGTTATTTCCATACACCCATAGTTCATTAACACACCATAATGCATTCAATAACATCTGCTCATAAAATTCAGTTGCTTCCATCATCTCCGTTCTCATAACCCCCATCAGGCCAGCTATCCGGAGGTGTAGCGGCCTTGGCGAGCAGGTTCCGAGTCACATCAACCCTATAAATGCTGGGTCCAATGTCGTCCTCGGTCCGCCGGTGCGCCTCAACCCATGTCCGCATGTGGCCCCTGATCTCCTTGTTACTCGTGACAGTCGTGATACCCTCCGCCCATCCGTGCATGTAAATGGATAGCTTGGAACTCTTGAACCCACCGCAGCGAGCAACATCGAGCGCCACCTCGGGAAGTCTGCCGTCTTTCACGGCAGCTTGGAAATCAGTGGGGTCAGACAGGATTGTGACTGGAATTTGCAGATCGGCAGGAGGTGGGCGGACGGAAAGGGAGGAGAACTTGGCGTGGATGTCAGAAGGGGACAGGGCGAGTGTCTCAGGATCCCTGGGCACGAGGAGGTGTCCGCGCTGTCGTTCCGTGTTCGTACCGACGGTACTCAGAACGTCATGGAAGTGCTCAGCTGCTTCCTTTGTACAGATGAGTTTGCGACCTCGCAGCAATGGATACAGGGTGGGCGCCATAAGCCCATCTGGATAGCGATTCTCTTCCTTGATCTGTGCTTGAGTCGTCGATGCTTGCCAGGGCTGGGGTTCAAGGTTGTAATGAGTGATATCGGAGATGAGATCTATGAGAATGGTGTGATCCATGTTGAGAACCGGTGTCAGGCCGGCAAGTTCATCTCCCGCGAGATTCCCAATGGCAGTCTCGAGCTGAGGGGGCTCACTAGTGAGAAAATCGCTCTGGCTATCATTGATGATGACTTCAACCTGAGAATCAATGTTTCGAAGCTGGTCTATAAACACTGCGACGTCATTGTTGGCATCTGTCTGTATTCTAGGCAGCACAACCCTGACTCTGGGAATCCGATACTCGTGCCTGTTCCGCTTTGCAGCCTCGACAATTCGCTTGATCTGCTTGGCAAGGGGTACTTCGCCCCAATCCTCTTCATCCAGAACATCTCCAAGTTCATGCTCTCCCCATCCCCAACCAGAGTCTGTCATCTGACGAGCCAGACGGTCCAGACTGATAGATTTGATGTCGATCCACTCCGATCCTCGTTCGACGACGTCCACTTCAACACGACTCTGTTCTTTCAGTGTGCGGTGAAGGAGTTGTTTCTCTCGACCTGAGATGGATTCTTGGGAAGACACCACCTCTCGCCGCGACTCCTTAGTAGATGAAAGGAAGGTCTGGTTTAACGCTTGGAAGGAATGACATCGTTTTAGGATGGACCATTTGAGATGCGCATGCTTGATATCAATCACATTGGCCTGTATCTTGTTGGCTATCGCTTTCAACTGAGTCTCTGGAAGTTCAGTTGCGTTGCCGAGTTCATCATCCACAAGCCGTTGCAGAGACCTCTGGTCTTTCTGAAGGCCCCGTACCCAAGTGACAAGACCCGTAAGTGTTGGCGGCCTATGCGTTTTCTCGAGCCGCGATACCAGGAGGCTTATCTCGGGGATCAACGAATTGCCCAGCTCGAGGCATTCTCTCGCCGCCTCAACGGTTCGAGTATGCAAAGGCAGCGCATCGCCAGTCTCGGTGGGCTGATCCGAACCAGCCATATTCCAACAACACTAGCTGACGCCGGGAACTTCTTAGAGGATCTAATAATTCTCCTCTTCTTGTATCTTCTCACAAAATAACATCAAACCCAGCTTAAACTCTACTTAGACTCATGGCCGAGCGGGAACTGCAACTTGAACTCGAAAGTGAACTGTGACTCAGCGTCATTGCCGTGATGAGCCAGCTACCTGGCAAGATCGAGAGAGCAGACAAGTGAGGGTTCAGACTCGGAATATCTGCAACTTCCTACAATGCCTTTTTTGGGAAGAGTTGTTGAGTCTATTCACGAATAGCGGAATAATAATGCTAGCCAACAACGCACTTGCCATCCAATTGTGCGATTTGGTGGTGAGGTTCGGGAAAGAGTTTGTCCGGTACCTTGACGACATCCTTTGGGAGCAAGTCAGCGCACACCAAAAAAATACTATCCCTACAAAGACTACAAATCTAATGCGAAGAATATCTTGACAGATTGACGCAACTTTCAAGAATGTGACAGATGATCATCGAATCCCGTCGAATATCCTAGGCTGACATCGGACGCATATGTTAGAGTCCGCCCTCGGGACCTCTCAAGTGCCTCTTTAGGGTAAGACAAGAAAAACGCGCATTTTGGTGCCCGATGGCGGTCTCTGCTCGTCGGTGTGGCTTCTCAGTGGAGCAGCTTGTCTAGTTTGCTCAACTTGAAACATGCTAAAAAAAAAATAGTAGTGAGCGAACCAACAAGTTTTGCCATGTGTCCCGGCATGATGCAGCTTTAGTGCCCTCTACCAGCCCAATGGTTCGGGAGCACGTACCGACGATTGGCCGCCGTGACAGCGACCCGACCAACACAACCAACACATTCTTGGCATCCTCTGTTGCGACGTCGTTGAGCTTGGGAGTCCATCCGCACTGTGAGGGCGGTCGCACGCTAGATATGCATGTGTGTCGACCGATGCGATTTTTTCGGTCTGGCTGGTGTATCCGCCTGGTCGAAGATCTCCGGTTTAGTTTCCTCGGAGTCTCCCGGTCTCCATACGGTGGGCGGATTTAGATAGCAAGAGGGGCCGAGTAGAGCACATATGAAGATGTAAAGACGCACATGAAAAATCTGCTTGAAGAGTTTGTCCCTGTTGTACTTGGAAGCCTTTCGAGCGGAATACTCCGCATGTTGCTGTCACGATCCATAACACCATGGGAGGAGAACAATCTACTGTCAAGATGAAAACTAGCTTGAACGTTCACGCCACACAGGTCCGTCCCGGAACAATCCACCAGCGACCGTTGAGCCGGCTCTCGACCGGGAATGAGTATGCTTCTGATGCACCGGACCCAAACCTTGTCCATTGTTTCGCCAACCAAAATCACGCGGCAATTCGGGGTCTTCAGTCCCCTCGTTCAACCCGACGTTGTCGTGGACAGATGCATCGATTGCATCGGGCAACGTAGCCGTGCAACGTAGCTATTAGAGGAATTCTTTGCACATTTGCAGTTATGCATACACATGATTTGGGACGAAAAAGTAATATAGCAATGTAAATCATATTAAATCCAATATAAATGCCATCCAACTAAATATGCGAACTGTTTATATATCAGGCCATAGCCGAACACGCCTCCATTTCTGGACTGGCACTTTGCAGTCCAGAAGAAACAAAAAAAGAACAATTGGGCAACACAACTTAATGAACCTAAGCACGGGTCTGGCGCCAGCTCTTGGGGCCCTCAACGACATTTGGGCAGTCGGCCAGAGTGCCAGTGGTTCCCCACTTAGCATGCAGGCGGATAGCATCACCGCCCTTTTGGGAGTTGGCAATGTTGAAACCATAGCCATCCTCGCCATTGGTGCCCTTGGGAAAAGCGTTGCAGCCGTCACCGTTGGGGTAGATGATCGACTTCTTCTCGGAACCTGAGACATACTCAGGGGTTTCACTGGTGATGGTCATGCCCTGGATGGGGTTACCATTATCCTCGGGAACCAGGGATGAGGCATCGGCACCAGAGAAGCCCTTGTTCTTGTCGCTCCAGCTGCCGAACTCCCACTCATACCATACACCAGAGATCTGACCAAGAGCAGTAAGAGGGAGGGAACCGACGCCGCAAGAGCAGCCACCGATACTGCCATCCTGGACAGCCAGATACTTTTTGGCACCAGGGGCGAGCTCAAAGTCAAGAACTTGCTTACCCTTCCAGAATCCCGTGAAGGCTTCACCAGTGGGCCCGGTCTTTAGGAAGCAAGCACAGACTTGCTTCTCGCTGGCAGCGTTCTCGAGGACAGAGATGTACTGATAGTTCTTGGCAGCGCTCTCCTCAACGAACTTTAGGTTGCAACCATATGTGCCGCTGCCAGTGTTACCAGCAAAGGCGTTCTCGGCAACAGTACCACGCTTGCTAGCTCCGGTGCAGAAAGTACCCGTGTAGCTGCCACTGGAGCCGATAGTGCCACTGCTACCACTGCTGGCACTGGTCGTGGCGGCGGCCTGGGAGGAGGAGGTGGTGGCGGCGGCAATGGCAACGGCAGCGGAGCTTGAGCTGGATGGTACGGCGGCAGCGTTCACAGCCGGAACAGTAACAGTCTGGAAGACAGTCGTGGTGGGCTTGACGTTCTTGACAAACTGGTCACGGACTTCGAGGTTGGTATCGCGGTGAACATGGTTGTGGACAGCGCCATGGGGATGGGCAGACACGCCGAGGGCGGCGGCCAGGAGGACGGTAGAGGCGGAGAACTTCATAGTAGCACTAGTTGATCCAGTTGTTGAACTTTTTTCGTATAGTAAGACAGGGGATATCCGAAATCGTAGTGTAAAGAGCGTGTTGCAACGTCTAGCGTATGCTGATCAAGGAGTGTGATGGTTATCCCAAGGTGAATTGGCAAGTTGAAGGAATGGAAAGGATGAGCAGGCAGCCGACTGATAAAGAGATCAAGCAAGAGAGCCAAGGGGGAAGGGAATAAAATGAAAGCAGGGGAGGGCATGTTAGCATGCATCTCGGGACACCAATCGGGCAAGAGAATGGCTGGGGGTACGAGTAATGCGTCTTGGCCCACCCACCACGGCCCAGACACAGTCGTACTAGTAATACATGACTACCTCTCCATACCAAGCTCTACATGTGGTGTAGGTGGACTGGAGAGTGGTGTCGTGTATACATGGCAGGGCAGGGATGGGCCTGGTCCCGGATGGAAGCATGGGAGGGTCGCAAAATTGGGGACAAATCCAGGGGCACTAGACCAGCAGCTGGACGGATCGACCAGGAACATGCGTCGTCTTATTGGCTTGAGGTCTCTAGCAAATGGGGCCACGCCATGTTTTCCCAACGTATTGGTTGCCACAAAATCCACGGTTGCTGACTAGTCCTTTCAGAGTAAGAGTAGGGATGGATCTCCTCCTGACTGTGCCTGAGAATCATCCCCTACTAATAGCTTCAAGGGCCTGTCACCGACCCGCTCGAGGCCGGCTGAAAAAGCAAAGTAGTGGTCTTTCACTGTGTGAGGAACGGGAGGCAGTGTGTATTTGACACCGTTTCCACGCAATTCACTCTGGCTTGCGTATACACTGGCCAACCATAGCTCGCCACGATGATGTTGGAGAGAGAGAAAAACCTCTCACTCGGGTGAAAATTCTACAGGTGGTGAGGGTCGCTTCTAAGTAGGTGAAACGCGCGACCTTCTTGAGTGAGGAGAAAGCCCTCGTGATGGATGCCATGCTGAAAAAATCCTCCGTCTGTCCATTCCGGCGTATATGGGAGGAGGAGGTGAGGGTAATGGGGCATCGTCTGGAATGATGTGTAATAATAACAACAAGACCAGGCCAGAAAAGAGGCGTCGCATGGTGCATGCCCCAGGAAATTGGCCCTCATTGGGTCAGTTGGTTTGCACATTGATCGAGAATCTGCCGATGTGAGGAACCCTGCAATTCCTGGAGCTGCCATATTACATGCACAGGGGTCCTCCTGCCAAGGCAGCCTGAACCAGAGACAGACGGTCGCCTGGTGGTCTGTGTGTGTGTGTGTCAACCTGCTATTCGATGTGGGAAGGTGGGTGCATAACTGCTGGTGGTTGCGCAGCTCATGCATGTACGTACCTCGAAAGGGACACAAAGGAGAATTACGGCACGTCCCACGTCAGCTCGGCGGACGGATTCTCGAAGCCCACTCCGCTAGAACAATGAGTTTTTGCACGACAAAAATAGCATGATTGAGGGAGAGAACACCATAGACTGCATGTGATTACTACGCGGATGTCAGTGTGGGCAAGTCATTCTTGAATTGTGCCTACATACACGGAATGTACCATCGAGGCATAGCCATAGATTTGCATCGTCGCCAATGTCTCGCCTGCACTGCCACCCGCGAAATTTCCCAAGCAACCCCTTTCAGTCCCACCATATTTGGCCCTTGCACACCCAGCTCCTCAAATTACAGAGTACGAGGCTCCTCAGCAACCATGAAGCTAGGCACGTTCCGCGGAAAGCCAGCACATTACTACTGGCTTCAGGTGGTCCCACGATTCGGTAGACCCGACCTTACGCTGACGATCATTGCGGCTTGTAAAGCTTGTTTTCCCTTCTCAAATCTCTTCCAAGCCCCGTCGACCCATGTCCCTTCGCTCCGAAGGCGGTGTGGTGTGTATTGATATCTTCATTGCTGCCACTAAGTCTCGGCGCTTCTCAGTGTAGCCTGTTGAGTCCGTGTGAGCGTAGAATGGCTGGCAAGGCGTCGACCAATCGCTTAGAAATAGCTTCTCATCGCGTCCTCAAACCCTGTCCCGCCTTTCAGATCTCTACCAAACTTGGCATGGACGTCAAGCACCTGGTTGATATGCTTCATGCTGAGTGCTTCGCCACGGTTCGCAGCCAAGTCCTGAGCTGAGCCCACGACATTCTTGATTTCTCGGCCGTTCAGGTCGTGTTTTGCCAGGGTATTGAGTTCATGATCCTCGAGAGGCTTCATGGCAATCCGCCCATGTTCTTTAACACGATCGATGAACAGTTTGAAAACAGCCTTCTTTGCTCTCACATCAAGCTTTTCATATCGAAGAGCAATATGGATTCGAGATTGAAAGGCCTCGTCAAATGTCTGAGACAATATTAGCACCATGCATTGGTTCATGCCAGGCGATACTTACCTCAACTCGATTGGTTGTCAGGAAGAGAATGCCTTGGAAGTACTCGAGCTGACGCAGGAAGATGCTCACAAGAGCGTTACGGTGAATATCCTGCATGTTCCGCTTTTCCAAGAACACATCAGCTTCATCAAGAAGCAAAATTGCACCCCATGTGTGACAAATATCCAGGATTTTCTGCAATTCATGCTCGAGGAACCTGGAGTCAGTCCCCAGCTCTCCTGCTGAGGCCATGTACAAAGGGCACTTTAAAAGTTCGCTGATACCCTCGGCAGCTGTTCGACACCGTTAGCGAAATCTTTTATATGCATGGTGAGATAAGGAACCCTTACTTAATGTTTTCCCGACTCCTGGTGGACCGTGAAGGACAGCTAGAACCTATTGTCAGAACACCGGCCAATCTCTTAAACATGGAAATGAACGTAAGAGGATCGGGAAAATCCCAATTCCTAATGGGATACTTACTGACGAGGCCTTTTCCCTTACCCTGAATAACATCATCAATCTTGGTTGCTGCGTTGAACTTGCGTGACTCCACAAGGGCTCTAATTAGATCCTTTGTCTCCGGATCCAGGACGAGTGATGCCCATGCTTGGTCGCTCCACTGTATGTCCCGAACGTCTGCGACTGAAAACTCGAGCCACTGCTTTTCGGCAAAGGAGAAGCCCAAAACCAGTGGAGAGGCAATGAGATACTCTTCATCCGTAAACGTAGAGTTGGGTGTCTCTGCCTGGTCTTTGATTTTCTCAACCTCAACACCATCGGGTATCTCACTCGAGGGTTTGTCTTCGATATTGCTTGTTGAGCCTTTATCAACTGGCTCACTTGCAGCGCTGTTCTCATTATCGTTCTTCTTGGAATCGCCGCTCTTGGCGGGTATGTCCTCCAGGTTTTGTCCTCTTCTCTTCCCTGGAAGCGAAGATTTGGGCATCCTGACCATGTGAATGTCTCCGTTTTTGCCTTTAACCACCTTGGTAATATGTTTGGCTTGGGTTTCTCCGTTTTCAGAGAAATCACCGTCGTTGCACCCATGACCCTCGTCATCATCTTCCTCTGAGGCACCAGAGCTGATAATGTCGTGGTCCTGAGGTCGCACATGAGACACATAGTAGTTGGGGTTAATGCGTCGAAAGGTGGCCGGGTCGATCATGATGCGACTGTTTTGAATGTTGAAGCGGACGGTTCCTTTCTTGCGTTTCAAGTAGGCCATTCCATTGTACGCTCGATAGTGCATGCCACTGAGAGCAACAAATTTCTTTCCACGCTCGACAAGCTCTTTCCGAACCGCGGCTTCATTGGTGCAATATGCTAAGGGATAGCATGGAAGAGATGTAATCTTCCGAGCTCCAGCGAACTCTAAGATGTCCTCGGATACGTTCCCCAGTCCAAACCGTTTCCCGTCGTACTCAAAATACTTGCCGTCAATGAAATAAAATTCGCCTTTTGTTAGGGAATTATGACGCTCAGATGCCTCAACTCTGAACACGCGAGGCATGTCATTATTACCATACGTCGGGCTATAGGCAAGCGTGCCCGGCTTCCACAAAGCCCACAGGAGCTCAAATGTTATGAGCCCATTTTGAAGCATCGGAATCAAACTGGCTTTCAAACTAGCATAGTCATGATCAAGATACTTGATGAGAACCTTGAGGTGCTTCCGCTTGTCGTCAAGGCGTTTTTGATTCTTCTGGCGCGCCTTCTTAGCGTCTCCAGCTGGCTCTAGATCCTTCAAAGCCTTCAAATGAACGCGAAGCTCGTCAAGGTACCTTGAACTTGTCAAAAACAATATACCAGGGGGAAGAGTTGGGGAAGGATTGCCGTCATGATTTAACATCTTGGCGATTTTCACTTACAGGAAAAGGAGATTCGGGTCTAGCTTGGGCGTCTCATCCACTAGACTTACACCTTGAATATTGCCCATGACATCGTGCAGACACTCTCGTAGGAGTTTGGATTTGATGTCAACACAGGTCTTCCGGTACTTGCCTTCCACATCAAACATTCGCCGAACATGAAAGACAAAGTCATCATATTGCGCATCGGTCGTAACTTCAGCACTGTCTTGGAGCCTAAATTGGTAGGACGAGGTGTCCCAAATCCAATCGACTCTCTTGAATTCCGCGCGCATTGGCGTTTTCTTCTTCATTTTCTCAGTACTGGTCGCCCCGACTCTCTGGATGTCGGAGCCGTTGGCGCCCAACAGTTTGCGCATGCGAGCCTGCCCCAAAAGAGCGTCGACATCGACTCGTTTCCTTCCTCGATTGAATGTTTGGGACGTAAGATCCGAGAGGTCTAGTGGTGGTTTTGTGGGAAGGCTGTTCAGCAAGACGGGTGCACTGGGCATGGTGGACATATAAGGATTTGACGGGGTATTGGTGGGATGCCCGAAGCCTCCGTGAAGGGAGGCTTGCTGGTCGGCAAGGAGCGCGATTTGGGTCTTTAGAGCAAGGATTTCTTGCTTGAGATTGAATTTATCTGCCGCGTCACTTGGTCCTCCGTCGCTTCCTTCATTAGATTCAGCGTCCGAGGATTCTGATGAATCTGAGTCTGAAGCTAGATATTTCTTTTTAGCAGATCTTTTCGCTTTTGACCCGGATTTTTTGGGTCTAT